CCAAAGCTTAAGCGTCCTCCAAGTTTTGAAAAGAACATTCGCACAATGTATGTCTTGAAAGTGTGTATACTTTGTCAATACACCACCCATGTGTCTTTCTCTAGGCAGACATTATGAATAAATAAATAGATAAGACAACGAAATTAACTTCCCTTGGCGTTGTGGCAAACACCAGTGCTTTGTTTCTGAGTTTGTGATTTGCCCGCTCTTCTGTTAGAGAACCTTCGGTTCAGGAACGCACAGGAGCTCACCTGTACAAGTTAATGGACTCATAAGTAACCCTCAGAAATCTGTCAAGGTGTTGCGCCGATTCCTGTTGAGCGGCAATCCGCGCAACACCTCGATAATCCTAATGGCACCAAATAGAAATGTGTATGTTCTGTAGCAACTGGGAAGGTGATAACGGCAGGCCGCCCCTTTTAAATGTGGGGCCTCCAACCAGCCCCCGTTGCCTTCCACAGTGCTTTAGTTGAGCGTGCACGCTCACGGCTAACGATACGTTGAAGCACCTTGAATGTAAAATGCTCAAGCCAGAGTCAAGTCAACTGAAACTCATTTCTGCCGTTTTATTCATGAGAGTGAAGATAGTTGCTGGGGTCGGCGGTGCTTTAATATGGTCATGAATAAACGGCTCTAACTATGCTCGGGACGGTGTTCATCCGTCAATATCATATATTGTGTTTGTATTTAGACCAGCACAAATACGATCACACACGCCGAAATTTAATTGCAACCGTTCTGAGTCATCGTAGCACCTAGAGGTCAATAAATAAAGTTCTCGGGATATTTCGAAAAACAGACAGGGCTCTGGTTTTTAACTTCCTCTCACAGAGGCTTGTAAATGGCTATCCAGATACATGCCACAACATAATCTTACCCACATCATGCGCTTGTTCCTTTTAAAAGAATATATGTTCAGGAGCTAAAAGCACTAAACAATGACGGACGAGTAGAAAGGCACACACCACCGAGCGCTACTTACAACTGATTTAATCTTGGAAAAAAATACACCCCCACGAAACCGGCAAGAGACGCGCATCCCATCCACTTCCAACCACCACTCATCCCATTTTCTGCTTTCCCACTGCGCATGTTCGTAAATACAATTGCTCCGATTCATACAGGGTTACTGACATAGCCTTAACTATTACCTTCGTCACAAATCTGAAATACAAGAACGCTTCCACTATCTGCCTTGTCTTCGTATTCTTGTTACGTGCCAAGATAACAGCGTTCTCGAAATAATATATACATTCACACATATTACAATGTACTGCTGGATTACCGGAGGGGGTTGATCTCAACGAAAGGGCATGTTTCCTCAGAATTTCCTTCACGCATCTCCCTGACTGCCCCATGTGCACCATCCTAAAAGACAGAGGGATTATGCACACAACCCCACTTTGCAGCCCACGTACTTCATCGCGAGATTTTCTGACACATATTTAGCGGTATATCTCCCCATTAAACCCTTCCACATAGCTTGCTCAATTTTTGTGGAGGTAAAGAGAGAACCGAAATGGCCTATTTTCCCCCACCTTTTTATGTTATGGCTAATATTGTGCATTTACGAAATCACTACTGGTCTCTTAGCTGGTTTCGCCCTCTCCTTCCTCTTCCCTCCTCCACGACGCTTCTTTAACAAGGCCTCTACCACACCCTAATGAGTATAAAGGGGAAGCCTCCCTCCTCCATTTTCCTCTTCTGCAACCCGAAGCTATAGCCTACCTTCTGCGGGCATGACTTCGTGAAGGACGCGATCAAGCAAGTCGTAGCTATACCCTTTTATTACTATTGAAGTGGTAAGAGTTGTAGGCTAAATCACCTCTCTTTGCCCTTGGACAGTAAGCCCAACCAACATACTTGCGACGGTATAGGTTCCTACTTCAGATCTAAAAACTGCAGTGCACCCGCCACCGGGTTCTCACTTGTGAAACTCAATCCCCAGGCCCTAGTTGTAAAAATCTCTGACATATCTGATGCTAACACGGCCATTTCTGAATCCACTTTTCAAGGAAACAGAACAAGGTAGTCGTATACAAATCTCAAGCCGCGAACAACGTACGCCTCCAATCTACTCTTATTCTCATTATAACACTTCGCTAAGTACATATCACTTAGCACTCAAGCCACACTCGCACAAATACACACACCTTATTTTTGCACAAGTTGTACGTCTCCAACAACAGTATACGTGGATTTCGAATAAAAACCGAGCAACTCTAAAAAGAACTTTATCGCAATCTCACATTAATTCCGAAACTTGAAATCCCCAAAGACCTCTATAGTCTCACGTATAGCTTCAAAAAGGCCGTCATGAGGGATGTATTAAAAAGGTGTTCAATGTGAAATGATACAGCATCACAGGCACAGGTTTAAAATTCCCCAGAAACTCTACCACACTTTTTGAACTGATCACCAAGAAAGGGTCGTTCAACTGGATGTGCGAAAGGTGACGCCGGAGGTACGAAAACAAATTCATTCCATGCAAAGAGAAGAAAGTTTACTCCATCCCATAGAGCTGCGGCCATCACATACGTAGGTGAGACCGGCAGAAGCACCAATCACAGACTTCAGGAACATCACAACGAAGTTTCTAAAGCCTCTCCAGATTCTTATCATTTAATAGTCATACATGCCCGTTCGTGTTTGCTTTTTCATCCCCTCTTTGATGAAAAAAAAAATCCTGGGGGGCAGGGCAGCAGATTCGGCAGAGAGATCATAAAGTCATTTGCCATGACGACAGCTAAAAACAACGTGTCAAACCCTTCTCTCCTGCTGACAAAAGCTGAGGTTGAATTTCTAAAATCCGAGATAAACCCTCCTCTCTGATTTGCACATCGCGTTTTTTATCTCCGATTCTCTCCCCTTCTCTCCCCCTTCTCCCCCCTTTCACTCCTGGGTATAGTCGGCTGCTCGTTGTGGAAAGTTGTTTCGTCTGTTGCTAGTTGAAAGATGTGGTTCTGTTGTCCCTGTTTTAATTGTTTTATTTTTTCTTCATCCATGAGGTACAATGTTATCTGCATCTGCCACGACCCCTCTGTGTAACCACAGCGCTAAACGACATGTCCACTTCCCCCGTCTTCACGGTGAAAAAACCTCATATGCAGATCCTTAGCACGCATCAAAACCTATTTTAAACTGTCTAGGCTCAAGCTCTGGCCAAGCTCAACAGCCCACCTTTTTACTTTGGCGAGCGAAACCTTTTTTACTTCCTGAAAGATCTTCTCTACTGCCTGTTGGCTCCGAAGTAGATTAGCACTCTCGGAAACTAGGAAAAACAATCCTTTTTGTCCGCTAACATCGGGTTCAGATGTTTGTTGATACATAAGGACACAACCTTCTCGAGGTTAGGTCGCTTGCGGAGAAGCCCACACTTTGTCGTGGACGGGTGTCAACCCCATTTAAATTCATCTCTCCCTGTTGGCTCGATTAACTCTGTCTCCCACATCTCGCACCAGATTGTGACCATTGTGTTAGTGCCCCATTAGTAACCCTGTATGAATAGGAGCTATCGTATTAACGATCATGCACAGTGCGAAATCAGAAAATGTGTTGAGCGTCAATTAGAAGTGCTTTTCCCAAGATTAATCCAGTTGTAAGTGGCGCTCTGTGCAATGTGTCTGCTTTCCTCCTCTGTCGTTTTTAGCACTTGTAACCCCTAAACATGTTCAACCAACTTGCCTAAATTATATTTTTGATACAAGAAAACATGTTAAAATTGTACCTAAAAGAAAGAAATACCTTTATGTAATTTTATATTCTAAAGAGTTAGAAAAAAAGTTTTAAGGACTTTCTTTTTACTGCAAATGATTTATTCATGAAAAATATCGCCCACAATGGAAGATGTTAAAAAAAAATAATATGTCAGATAACTAAAATGGAAAACACTGGCGGGAACACAACTACACCGCATTTTTACCACGAAAAAACTATCATTGTCTCTGCTGCGACCCTCCCCGTTGACATGATGTTGTGAAAACAGTCAAAAATCCTGTCGAACATATTCAACTTGTCTCTCTTGTCAAAGAAAGCGATTGACCGTTTTTAAGCTACAGTGAGCCACGCGTTTAGAGCTTATGAGTGGGCCAGTTTTCTCCTTTACGCTCAACGTTCGTTGGCGCTCTGCTAATTTTCTATTCTTGTTCATGTAAAGGGCATTGATTAACACCCGTCAGAATCTTCGTGTTACTCACTGGCTTTGTTAACGTCCTCTATAATTTCTACGTGTCTTGAGGCTTATTACTAATTCTGAATTCTTTTTTTTTGTGATCTCTTGAAGAAAATGTCGAAGAGTCACAAGCGGAATACGATTCCCAACGTATTATAGTACCATGGCAACGCGTTGTGGGAAAACGTCCGATAGTTTCTTTTTTTTTTTTTCGAATATATTCGCCCGCTGCTGGCACCTCTTTTGTCAACAGAAGTTGTGGGACGTCGATGGTTATAATAAGACAAAAACAAAGGTACTGCAACGCCTAAAGTCCTAAAATAAAAAAAAACAATATAGCCGTTTTTTTAGCATGTTTTATTTTTATTTTACGGAGTTAAGATACGTTGTTCCTAAAGACGATATGTTCCTCGTGAATGTGTCAAGTAGTTCAAACGACGGAATATGTACACTGCGCGAAACATGTGTAGTATGTAGGATAGTTCACCGGAGTCACCGAGTAGTGGCAAACCACCAATTCCCAGCGTGACGTTTATCCAGACCTAAACGTGTTGGTGTAAGTGTTGAGCCCATGATCCCACAGCGACGCAGCTGGCTTGATAACGATTAAAACACCAAAAAAGTAACAACCAAATCTGCAAGATATACGCACGACGTGCTAATAGACGCACGTCGTGCGTCTATTAGCACGCTGTACCAAACCAAACAAGAGTTAACTGACATAATCACTCGTTGTCTGAGTTATAAAAATCCCCTGAAATGTCGCAATGATCAAATTACTCCGTTCGTGTGAGCAGAATACGTTGGTTGCCCTCATACCGCCTCCACTATGCCTCGTGGTCTGTTTAGATTTCTCGGTCTTCTTAGTTTCAGTTATGCCAGCACAACTTTTCATTTCCCAGAGCTCAAGCCGGAGCTCGAAAAGTACCAGGACGCATCTGAGGTATGGGATATTGGTGTGTGTAAGAAGCCAGCTTGTTTCAAGTCTATCAAAATTAAGATAAAAATAACATTTCCGAGGTAACTTATGTGTTAAACATTAATTTTGCATTCGTTTATTTTTATTGTAGAATCCTCAAGTGTAAATATTGGTAATTTTTTATGAAAGCCATCAAGCGTGTTATGGGACATCTAAGCATTGTGAGAAGAGGAAAAATGTGTGCTACGTACATCATATATATATATATATATATATATATATATATATATATATATATATATATATACACATCAACGGCAAAAAACGTACTATAGCCGGTTGCTTAGAGTTTTATAACATATTAATTGTAAAGACAGGCGACGATTCGGCCTGACGCAGACCTTTTTCAAGACTGTAAAGTCAGTCGACGTTTCGGCTTGAGACTACGTTATAAAATTCGAAATAACCCTATCAAGTACATTTTTCTGCCGCTTATACCTTTGCAACATCCCGTGCTATGTTTTTTTTCTTTTTTTCCCTTTCCCTCCATTCCTTCCTCTCTCTCTCCTTCTCTCTCTCTTGATATATATATATACATATATATATCCTATCGAAAATTCCATCAAGATACGTAATTTCGAACACTGACTGCCAGTCAGCAGTCTTGGTGGAACGTGCCCTGATGGTCCATCAGATGACATCTGACTGCCACTGCCAAGGGAATTTCATCAACAAGGGCAGCATTTATATAAGAGTAAAGCTATACGCACTCATAAATATCGCCAAATGCCTCGAAAAAACAAAATGTTCGAAGAAAAGAAACAAAAGCAGGTCCACCGCGGATCGAACCCGCCCCCTTGCGTACAAATCGGACACCTTAACTCCCTATGCTATGCCATCGCTTAGGAAACTCGATTTGACCATTCATTTTATACGAGTTTAGCGGAGCGCGTATAGCTATTTCCTTCCGAAGTGCACTGCGGAGTGCGTAGAGCTTTACTTTTTATATAAAGCTCAAATTCCGAGGTGGCAATCTTGGATGGCTATGAAACGGTTCACAAGCCGAGGTGGCCATTATAAGGATTTGTGAAACGGTTCACAAATCCTTAAAATGAATGTAATTCATGACATCAAAAATCAGGAAAATTGTGTACTCGTCCTTTGTTTTTTCCCCTTTTGAAATTTGCGTTTTTCGCGCAAAAGGGGCATTCGTTTACAAACGGGACCACATGCACCGTAAGCATGTTTCAAAGAAATGCCTTCGATGTCTGAACCTTTCGGGACGGCCGTATACACTTTAATTCGCAAAACCTATGCAACTCCGTTGAAGCTAGAGAGCAAGCATGCATGCTACGACAGACGGCCCTTACTTCCACGGACGAACGCGAGCAGCCCCGACACAGTGGTAAGGCCAATAGCCCATGCCAGATAGAAAGGTATAAACTTTCTAGCCCAAACCTCTCGGACCGAGTCAGGAGCATTTTAGTATTGCAGTGCGAGATTCCGACAATGAGCGCATCGCTCTAAAGAATGCTTCGGCTGCATATGCAATTAAGCCTTCAGCATGTTATGCAAAGACCTCGTACATGACTCGCCGTACTTCAGTTCAACTCACCTGCCATGTAGAGCACTTTCGCGTCGTAGAACGATACTTTTGTTTGCGCATCTCCGGCCCAGTAGACCTGGTACACCTTGTCGTCTTCAACTACACCGCTAAAGTTCCTTACATCGTCTGAACTCACAACAGGCTGGGTCTTGTCGAGTTGAAATTCTACTAAAACATAAGACACTGTAAAGCCCGGGCAGGATCGACAGGTTGGAGCAAGTGGGCATACAAAAAGAGTCGAGAGCGATCGTTCATGGAAGCTCGGCGAAGCCTCTATGGGCGAAGCGAAAGTGGCGTGTTCGGCGTTTCGGCGGGCTTCTGATCAAGGCTGTCGGTCGGTTGCGTGTCATATCTCTAACATCAGTGGTTTTATGGGCTCACGTCCCGAAATCGTTTTCTCGTGCATAGATTATTTTTCGTATTCGTAGATTTGACGAAATAGTGGTATCCGAACGAACTTTACGTCCTTTGACCGTACGTCTGTCTGCACGTCAAAGATTTTTGACGTACAGTCAGAGACAATCGATGTGCAATCAGAATCGCCACCAAGACATCTTGATGGCATTTTGCGGCGGCCGTCTGCCACCAGGAAACCATCAGAAAGCCGACAAGCGGAGCCTGACTGGAGTTCGACTGTCGGTCAGAGTAACTTGTTGATCAATCAGACATGCTTGACGTACAGTCCGGCACAGTCAGCGGTCCACTAGAAAACATTGACTGCTAAACAGGGTTACATTGATGGATTTTTCATTCGGGTATATATGCGTCCACTTGCGTACAAATCGGACACCTTAATTCCTATGCTATGCCATCGCTTAGGAAACTTGATTTGACCATTCATTTTATACGAGTTTAGCGGAGCGCGTATAGCTATTTCCTATATAGATATATATAGATATAAGAAAGTAAACGTACTTCGAAGCTTTTAGATGAGTTTTATCGCGTATAGGTCGACGTTTCCGCCTTAGTGAGGGCAAAACATCGACCAATATGTGATAAAATTCTACTAAAAGTTTCGAAGTACGTCTACTCTCTCATATACGCTTTTCGTCGTCTTACGAAACAGTATTTTTCTTATATATATGAATAAATACATATTTATATATTAATAGAAGTAATTCTACGGAAAGTTCCTGCAGGTAGAAACCTATTTTTTTACCATTAATTATACAATAAACTGAAATATCTGCTGTCCAGAGCACTTTTGCACGTCATTCAAATAATGGTAAATATTAACCGCGAAGGACTGTGGCATCAAGCATTATTCACTTGTGACAATATGCACATGTTAAGAGATTATTAGGCTGGCTTAGTTAATATCGAGTTTCTTAAAATGAATATCGAACTGGATTCATGTTTACAAGAAGCATAACATATGTATGGGAACGTTTTGACACGTCATATAATTTATATAAGTTTTGATATGTTTATTGGCACACTAATACATACATTTTATTTTTTCGGAGTAGGGTGAAGGCGTACTGGAGTTATTTAGATTATCAAGGAATGTTAGTTACATCACACGGTAGTTTTCCCAATCTTTCCATGCATCGCCAGGGAGAAAAAGTTTTGCATATAAATTCAAAATACTATAAAAATAAAAATACATTTAACGTAAGAGACCACATTTTCACGCGAAGTGTCTACAAAAATTCCTAACAGAGTAATCTCGGTGAGTAGGAGAGCGAAAGCGATCAAACTTGCGATCAAATAAAAGGCAGGTAACAAGTCAGTTCCCGTTTGGGGTGTATCAACACAAACGTCCTAAATATACATTTACGTAAACATCTGCGTTTGGTACGGTTCTACGGAGTTCTTTCTAATGGTCTCTTCTTCTGCAATTACAAACTTCAGGTGTACCCGCTCACCGAGCCATTTTACGAGCTGTACAGGAACTACGAGGAAGACCCAATATTTGGCACTGCGAAATGCTTGAAGTTCAGCCAGGCGCGCCCAGAAGAGGATCGCGGATACCCGATATTAGCTCAGTGGGGAGAAGACAACCAGACGATGTAAGTGGCATTTCAGAACGCATCATGCACCATCAACTGCAGGCACTCGGGTGGCTTTTCGTGATATGAATCCAAAAGGCTAAGAGAAGGACCATGACATACAAGATTCCCAAATCCAGTTGCTAGCATCGGTTATTAAATAACCCCGTTATTTTTGTTATTAGGGCCGATAGATCAGTTAAGAAGGAAAGGAAGCCACTAGGTAAATGCCTTTTTGCGAATACGCGGATGAAACCATGTCGTAGCGAACAGGTCATTTTTCCCTACTCCTATCTGCAAAAGGTGCCACGCTTAACAAGCATCGCTAACTCGGTCATGTACGAACTCATCAACAGTTTTCATTAGCAAGATTGTAGGTCTTATTTTTCACGGCAGAGAGATATGTCTTATAATTTTCTTTAGCTAAGATCCAGCCTTCAATGCATATATACTGCGTTTAGAAATAGTAGTGGATGCCTCTCACTCGCAAGTTATGGCACTAATAGCTTCTCTGGCATATGCTTGGTTCATAGAATTGCATATGGAAAACTTCAATCCAGTGAAGGGTATACCGTAAAAAACATGGGACTCTATACGGTGGACGGTGGTAAGTATGCGACCTTCACCCAAAATTTCTACAATGCATGGAACCTATATTTATGGAGCGATACTTCATATTTGTTTATATAACATTGGAATGTTGTTTGGTGGGAATGAAGAACATCCTGTTTAATCTTTTGTATCACCCTCCCATAAGATATTACCATGCACTAAGGACAGAGATAATCTGTATACTGTAATGTGGGAATATACAGCACACACGCTAAACGCTGCACGATTACGATGTGCAATTTTCAGTGCACTAAGATGCAAAAAAAAACAAAAAAAAATTCTTTCTCATTTTTAGCGAGTATGAAATTTTGAAGCAACGCCTAGGACAAGGGACCAGATGTGGAAAGACACAGATACAGCGCTGACACAGAACTGAAGTTAATTGATTGAAACTGCTTCATATATATTAGCCCCGTTAAGAACAAAATAGCAAAGAAGGAAGAGGAAATCAACGCCCCCGAGAACCACAAACATTTCAAAAGCGCTAAGAAAGCCCCAAAATATAATGCTCACAACACAAGCAATTCATGGTATAAGGAAAGCAATCTCTTTTCTTGAGAGGGAAATAGAAGGACGGCTGACACAGTGGTCATCTAATCTTGCTGTCTCTAATTCCTCAAGATTTCACGTGTCAGCTGGTCACGGTGTCATTTTAAACCCTCACATGTTTGAAACTCGGTAACGCAGCCAACGTCTTGGCAATGACTGTCAGGTTAACCAGCTATCCCCGAGGATACATAGTAAGCATGTTTTCTTATCCCATCACTAAGACAGCGGCCAGTTTGGCGCACATAACGCTGGCCGCATGACAAATGGAGTAAATAAACAGGTCCTTTGGCACAAGTGCAAGCGATGATCACGATGTTTGGTCTTACACGTGCTAGCATTTCTAACAGGAATATTGACGTTGACGGCTCTGCACAACGTTCACAGGGCAGTTTGTTAGGAGAGGAGAATAACACGCCCACATCACATCTGCCTGCTGCTCTGTTGAAGGCGTGGGCCAAACCTTGAATATACGGAATGACAACGAACTTTTCTTTTTTCCCGTGCTTTATTGATAGTTTCTTCGCACTTTTGAGTCTCAATCTTTATTTCTCTGAGCAGATACGTGGACACCGTTATCAAAAACTGGCAAGAGAATCGAGAGACTCTGAGGCGTTCAGTTTGTTTATGGAAGCTAGGTTGAAATTTTTAAAAGCAAGACTTTCGCAGAGAATGTGCATAGAAAGTCCTAGCAATCGACCGCCTTACAATTTTTTGAGCGCTGACTGCAAGCCCAAGGTGGCTTGCCGGCGCGTGGTTTGTAAGTCCAACATAAATATTTTAGACACATACTTAACATTAAATATATCAATCTGATAAAACCAGCTTCAGGATAACCTGAATCTGGTTGTATCAGATTCTTATATTTAATGTATTTTAGCTATGTGTCCAAAACATATACGTTAGGTTTTCAAACCAATCCCTCTGTTAAGGGTGCTAGCACTTGCAAGAGGAAACATCGTGATCATATCGTCACTTGTGCTGGAAGGGTTGTTTTTTCACTCCCTCTGCAATGCGCCAAGCGCTATGTGGGCCATACGTGCCGCTGTGTTAATGGCAGGGTAAGAGAACATGCTTAGTAGTAGTAGTGATTCGTCGTGGCCTTACGTCGTATAGGTTGCCCTAGCTATTGACGCTGGCACTGGCAGGTGACGGGCCCTGAAAATGGCATTTTATGATTATATAAAAAAGAGAACATGCTTACAATGTGTCCTGGGTGGTATATGATCACATTGGCATTCATTGCCGTGACTGTCAATACGTGCCAGAATTTCTAAAATGTGAGGTTATTAAACGTGATCATGAACAGCTGAGACGTCAAATTCTCGAAGCCTTTGAAACAGCAAGATTATACGATAACTGTGTCAACGATCCTTCAATCGCCCTCTCAAGAAACCAGATTGCTTCCCTTGTGCCATGGCTTGCTTCTGTTGTACGCATGATCTTTTATGGCTCTTTTGGCGTTTTCAAAACAAAAAAAAAATTTTGTTTTTTTAGGGGAAGGGGGGCTTTTTCATTTGCGTTGTTTTTTTTTTTTTTCTTGACTGCGCTAATATATGACGCTGTTTCAATCAATGAATCTTTTTGTGAGTCAACGCTTTGTCCGTCTTCATCTAATCCCTCGTCCTTTTGCGCTGTTTTATTATTTCTAATAAGTCGCGTGAATCCGGTGAATAAACCAATCAAAAGCACTGTGAATACTGCCGCTCCATGCTCGGGTGTCCTTGATGTTCTCACACAAATCTGGGACGTTTAGAATACTAGCCCAAAAGCGGTGGCGAAGTATTCCTAAGTGGCGACCATTGTTTTTCCTTCTGGAAAACAATCATGCAATAAAAAAAATCGCTCCACTTTCGCAGAGATTAGGCTATTTTTCGCGAATCCCTGGGTTCCAGGTATGATTCCATGAGAAATTTCAGTGTGTATGGTGAATTTACCCAAGCTTAAAATTCTCTAAAGTACGACAAAATGAAAAAAAATAAATAAATAAAACGCAGCAGAAGTTTTGAGGGCGAAAGGTGCCTTTAAATAGGCAAAACGTAACTGAAGACAAAGAGGCAGAAGCTATGGAACTATTTCCACAACTGCACTTCCGTTCACAATAACTACTCACCCGGAGTTAGATCCCGGATCCTACAGCGCTCGATTCAACTCAGCTTCTAACTTACCCAAGGACACGAAATGCCATGAAAAGATTGTCTAAACTCCGGGGGCATGTGTTCAAAAACCGCATTGATTTTGAGTTCGCAACCTAGGAAATAAACAAAAATAGAAATTCATGGTTCATAGCTTGAACGCTAACAAAGTGATATCAAACCCAGTTCTACAGCCAATAATAAAAGAAAACTACACATGAAATTCCCTCACCATTTCAAGTATAATGGAGGCATATTCATGCCTCAATATTGTTATTATCTTTTTTAGTGAACGATTGAGCTCATTTATTTCCGTAACTATTAGTTCAGCATAGTTTTATTAAGGAAATAATTGTTATACTACATGAAGTGCTGCAATACTTCTCTATACAGCTCTTTATTTTGATGTGACCTTTATGCTCATTCGACTAGACATCAATGCAGTGTTGTGTCTCCTAAACGGCCCAAATTTCGAAACTAAAGGGATTTCCTACAGATTTAAAGAGGTACCATCAATATTTCTAACATTGTGAATGGATTTAAATATTTGAAGTAATAACAATCAAAATTGGTGTTTGCACCGAATTTGTGATTTAAGTAGTTTAGATTAGAAGGTAACGTATAAAAGTAAACAGATAAAACAAGTCTTAATTCATTGGTATTCATTGAGATATTCTTGCTCATGACAAATTTTTTTTAAAGTTGCTGTCATACATATTTAGTGCAAATGTGCAAGTGATACATTGTGCATTTAGTATTGCTTCAAATGTCCATTTTGAATCCGAACTTTGCTTCAGCTGTCCAACAAAACGGCGCGGTAATGTCAGAATAAATCAGAATTAACATTTCATAAAAGATAAGAACCCGTATTTGGAAGTGTAAAACACTTGAGAAAATATATGAACTTTGTTCCTAAAGTGACCTCTGCTAAAATAGTAATGACCTAAATTAATAACCCCGTCTACTGAAAAAGACTAGCAATATTTAAGCGTGACTGTGTGGGGAATAAGACTTTCCCGTTTTCTTTTTCTTTTCGTTGTCTTTGATTGGAACAAGATTCTTCACCTATTATTTTTGTCGATTGTAGTACTGGGTTCTAGGTTTCACTTCATTGATACCTTAATATTTTTGTGCGGGTTTCCTTATTTGATTTTTTAGGTTGTGTACCCCAGGGCATTCTTTGATGTTAAACACCTAGTAATTCGGAGGTCAGCAGGTTGATTATTTGTGGTACCGGTTCTTGCGTACGTTAGAAGTTGTGAAGAATAGAAATTTGGCAGTTCTGGGTAGTGAACATGGGAAAATATTTTCTTCCTGTCTTCCATTGTCACTACTGTGGTAGGACGACAATTTAAGTCCATTGAAACTTAGACTTGCTTCAGACTTTTTGAGTTCAGGTTGTTCTTTAAGAAAAAGCGCGTCTCGAAAAAATTCACCATGTTTTGGTTGCACCAGCGAATTTAAGTTGACGATTTTTCAACAAATCTGTATTGCTTCATTTCTTAGTAAACGCTCGTGTTTTCTGTGTTTCTTATATTGTCATGGCAACCAAACCGGCTGTGTTGACATGTCAAGCCATCAGATTTGAGCGGACGCCAGAAAGGACGACCGATAAATTTATGGGAGAGAGGATTCTGTTATGGATCATTCTGCATTAAAAGTGCTCTTTGCGATCATGCCTATATTTGAGAGCTAATATCCTGTTGCTATGTATTATGATTTTATGAATTTGTCTTGAGCCTAATATAGAATTTCCTTTCTCAATACTTAATCGAAATGCAGTAGATGGGTCACTGCCCTTATACCTTACTTTCATGGAGGTCGGCAACTGCGCAGTCGTTAGAATCGCCTACGTTAACGGTACGTGTGATATTTTAACGTCTTAAATTATTTTCAACCACAATCTCTCAATATTTATTCATCAATACACGCGACTCTTTTTGCAAGAATGTGAAAGGAACACGTTAGCTGGCATAGCGTTATTATGCGTAAAAAAACAATTATATTGAATGCTATTAAGGAATCACGATTACACCATCTCAGGGATATCTGGCAACAGTTTCGCAAGTCCCAATCGATTGGAATCTGCGGCGCGGAAGGGCATGCTCTCAAGTTTAAATTCAGCTGAACAAAATCTAGAGTGATGTTCTTTAAGGATACAGAACATAGAAATAGATACGATATACAAGTACCAACATTTGTGAGTGTGAATCAGCGAAGGAATGAAATATCTCCATGAATATGATAGACATATAATTAATAAGGGTAAAAGTATAGCGAGCATTATGAAGTACAAGGTGTAATGGAACGTTAATATATACAAAGTGGTCCGGGGGGGTATGGAAAAGGATAATGGTACCAGTATTGATATTTGGTAATGCAGCCTTGTGCATAAATTTTGAAGTTCAGGTGATATTGGAGATAGGGCAAAGGAGCCTTGGCTGGACCGTCCTAGGGGCACATGGGAACACTCAAAACGATGTAGTGCAGGGTAATATGGGCTGATCATCCTCAGCGAGCAGATAGCCAGTGTGTAAAATAACTTTAAAATAACACGCGGTGGGCGAATAAAATGTATAAATACCTGTGCATGAGGACTTTAAACACGATCGAGGTGGACGAATAGGACATGAAAGCTTGGGATAAAATTCCTGCAGACAGGAAACGTCTGTAAAGCGAACACGTTGGGTGGGAAAGGCAGTTAAGAAGGCAGAGAGATGGCTGTGGGAGGACAAATTGCAGGTGATATTAGCTTTAACAATACACCGGTTATAAAAGCAAGATATAATGAAAGAAGGTTATTCAATAATTCGGGAGGGAGCGTTCTGGTGTTTGAGGCGACGACGGGAGTATTAAGAACAAACACGTATAAGGCCAAATTTGAAGACACAGATACAATGTGCGTATTATGCAAGGAAGAGACGGAAACAATTCAGAATGTGATCCTAAAATGTAAGAAAACTTAGTCCTACCGTTCCCGAAGGGGCCTTCGGCCTCGCTATAAGAGATGGACGGGTGTATTATAAAAGAATAGAGGCAACGAAGAGAAGATTGTGGGACTAGCGGAAATTATCTCAGGAGAATTGAACTATGTACCACTGACTAGTACAACTGGGGTCAGGCCGGACAGAGGAAAATCGAGACATCTTCACGCGTTGCACTGGCCCAAAGTCTCGACCCTGTTTACAAGAGGGTCGGGTGTTAGATGACGCCGACATTGATCGACCAGAGGAAAATAGACGACTCCTTCGCCGGTAGCTGGAGCAGTTGACGATGTTCTTAGTTATTTTTGCCCGATAATCCAAACGTCTGCCTGGCTACCATCTTCATAGCCTAGTGATAATTAGAGAAACACATGTGCTTGAAAGGCGAAAGGGAAAAATAATTTTTGGTGTTGCTTTCAGGCTAGGCGGCGCAAGCTAAAGTCCGTCACAAAGGGTGCAGCCGTTGTCATAAATCCATTCATCCTTCCGCCATTAATGTAACTGCCAAAGCAAAAAATGCTATGTACTCCTTAAAAACGTAATGATTAGTTAGGTGTCCAATCTTTGCCTCATTAAACTTACATGTTATGAAATAATATTTCACAACCTTAGGTGTTTTGAAATGTATTGCGGGTTACTGTGATAATGACAAAATGTTAAAATTTTTACAACACTTGCCTTTATATTTTCGTAATATTCATGCAAGTAAAAATACTGAAGCAGTTTTACATTTACATCTAATGAAAATCAGACATAAATGACAACCTCCAGAGCGAGTGTGTTTTCGGAAAATGTATCAAATACTTTTTTTATGCTCAGCTGTCAGTTCCTGGTTCTGTGGAAGAAAGCATCTGTCACTCAAGTCGACGGGAATACATGTTTTAGACGGATGTGCTTTTGTTTATTTTGATATAAGGTGAAGTGGCTGGTAATGAGATATATAAAATGGATTATAATATATTTATAGCAAACATCTTCGCACATTACAGAAGACGCATGCGGCGTCATTGTTCCCGAGAGCCATCTTGGACAGGACACCACAATCTGCGATTTCGTGTACGACCTGTTGTGTGGTACTTATAAGTACCATCTGGATGACGAGAATTGTAACTGGTGATAAAATATTCACATGCATGACCGTTTAAAAACAATTATCCCGCAAGGCACTCCTGATTTTATCATAATGGCACACTTTGCAATCTTTTTTTATGTTTCTGCTGTCGATGTTCACGTTGTTTTTGAAAAAAAAGAATTCTCACAAGACTTCTACAACTTGTTCGTCGAGGCTGATTGCGTAGTTCGTTTAATGTTTTGAAGTGCATTATTCCCACTTTTAGACTTACATTTCTAATTAAATCGTTACGTACACTTTAAGCGGCTACATTCCTGAGTACACTCAATCTCATCTAGAAATAAATGGTGGTTCCTTCCCGCTTGCAAAAAGAGGTCTGTATTTCTGGAGAAATAATTTAACTACCAAAGAAGTAGAAGCTTTTTTCAAGAAAGTGTTTGCATTTTTGTGCTAGTAAGAAGGGCTCATATCGAATGAACTGATATTTCCAGCCAGTTTGGTTACGCCACCGCCGCCGCGATGCATCGGGATACTAGTTATTCTGCATTTGCCGCGACCAGAATTTGTGCTTAGGTCACGTGACGTCAGGTTGTGTAACATCAATTTACGTCACGTGACCGAAACACCTACCCAGTTTCCCTGCTAAATTTCCCGGGAAACGCACCGACGGACGAACGGACGCACGGACGAACGGAGGGTCAAAACTGGTATAAGCCTCGTATAATTCGGTGGGTAGTTAACTTTGATTAACTAAACTTAAAATTATTAAATATCTCGGCATAGTTTCTGTTCACCCATTTTCAAATTCCTCTCTTCTGAGGTCTTTGGTATGAAACTGCATGGGCGTGCAACGAGCGCGCACACGCAATCCTTCCAGTGGACTTTGCGAGCGCGCACACGCAATCCTTCCAGTGGACTTTGTGTCCTTCAGGGGAAAAAAAGGAGTGTTTTTGTTTTCAATTTTCGACTTGTTAGCAAAGCGCATCTCAGCGCCAGCGGTCATGCTCCTACTGTCTGACACGCAGAGCCACTGCTACTCCTCCCCGGTGGGAGAGGGGGAAGTGGGTCTCCCGCAGACGGAATAAAGCCCGGTCGTGTTCAAATGACGTTGCAAGATTAAGCTTCGAATCTTGAGTTGTCGGGACTAAATAAGGTGCAGGGCCGTGCAGAAAAAAAACAAAAACCGATGCACTAAAAGAGCAGTAGCACCGCTCAACCACTCTATGAAGAGACCGATCGCCCCGTCGGGTTCGTTTGCTGACTGCAAAGAATACAAGTATAAAACCATACTTCACGAAGCCCCAGATTCAACAGGGTGGATTTTAATACGGATTGTTTGACACGCCCTGGCCAAGTAAGGGGCGTGTCATAGGGCCCGAATCACTGTCCAACAGACGGCCACAAAAGTCGCACGTCATCATCAGTGGACAACAGTACGGACGATGTTCCTGAATGCACCATTTTTTGGCAGAAGTGGTGCGCCCTGTCTCAGACTTGATTCGAGGATCGCCTTGGTAGAAACTTTTCGGATAAAAAAATGCGCCAGAAGGAAGGAGAGGGCGAAAGTTCCCTTGTATTAATTTGGAGCGAAATATTACTCATGTGGTGCACAAAAGCGATATCTTAGGAGCTTAATCAAGCTCACCATAACTCAGTAAAGTTACCCTTATCTAGCATTCTGACTTGAAGGAACATGCACACTCGCACGTACGGCACCCACGCAGCTTCATATTGAACTACTCTGAAACCTACAATCTGGATACGGGCTGATTTTTCACGCACCGGCCCGCGGCAGCAGGCGAGCGAGCTGCCTGCGGGCGACCGCTGACCGGTTCCAGAGACAGACAGCAAGAGCTCCCAGAATGGTGTGTTTAAGTGGAGTTAGGGAGGAATACAGCCAAAATTATACTCCGTTTCACATTACGTCAGCCCACAGTGGAGGCTACGAGACATCAGGTCTGCCAGCAGGTTGCTCTGCTTTCCCCACGTCACGGCTTTTCTTGTCAAAGCACTGTAAACGTAGCACGTGGCGTCCACGCATGGTGGCTCCGATGGCTGGATGCATTTGCTGCGGACAGACGTGAGGTCAAACGGAGTTAACGCAAAGCGGGCCCAACCGCGATCACATCGAAGGGAGGGAATACGCACTCCCATATGGCTCACCTCTATCGTTCTAACTTGGGTCACTGACAATTCCCAGAATACCTAATTCTATCCAGTCAGCTTACCGGAAGTCAAACCCGCAGAACTCAATTCTGATTGGCTGGATTAGCCCGTGGTGGAAGTTATTAGTTGGCCATTATGAGGGTGATATTAGAACAAACACAAAACATATATAAAACGTTTCCGCATTATCATGGGTGTGGCGGGTACGCACGGGTGAGAGCTCCGTGCATCGATGAGTTCTGATCGAACAGTAGGTGCGTTGATTTTTTCTAACTTTTTTTTTATATATAAGGTAGCTTCTAGTCTGGTTCGCCAAAGAAGATTGCTGCCTCGTTTGCTCGGTTCGGTTGCGCTGGTACTGCGTTTCCAACCCTACGCCTGACACGCTAAGCCTAAGACTCGAATTCGATGTGTTTCCAGGCAAGAGTGACACGAGACAGCAAGGAGCAAGTCACGTACCGCTCGGAACGAAGAAAATAACTTTAATAAAAACAAACCGGTATCGCCACAGACCAGGAAAGTGGATTTAAAAGCTCGCAAGTGAATGAACGCTACGCAGTGCGGGCTTCGCATCGACCGCACAGCTCAGTGCCATATTGTGGATGGGTTGGAGTACGACTGCTGCGCCACGACTCGGTTCTGAAACGAAACTTGGGAATTTCGGTACTCTGGGAAAATTCAGTGACTCTAGTGCTAACAGTGCGTGGCGACCATCTATCGTAGTATGGTGTCCGGAACGCGTCTCCCAGTGGTGTGTTTACCGCGTCCTATACAGTGATCTCTTGATTTTCGCCTGATGACGTCATGGAATTGTCGTGCTGTCACCTGTCGTGACCCTGGCGGTGCCCCAGCAGCTGTGGTGGTTGTGGCAGACGCCTGTTCTGCTGCAGGTCACTCTCCACGGTGACAGTCCACGGAAGCTACGGCATCCGGAAGTGGGGACGCCTGGGACGCCGTGAGGACAGCGACGCTCGCGTTCGCTTGTGTTTTTTGCCAAGATTTCTAAGACCAACCGCCAGGATCGCGAATGCAACAGCTTGACACACCGGCTTCTGTGACGTCATTTGTTGCCACATCGGGCCCACTTTTGGTGTATAGGCAGCATATGACGCTAAACACACCAGTCGGAGACGCGCTCCAGGCACAACATTAGTAGCTCGTTTTGCCCTCGGGAGCAAGACCACTAGATGAAAGATACACTACGATAGCAAACTTAAACCTGGAAACGCGTCCAAATTGACTGTTCTTTTAACGCAAAACGTTCTTTGGCTAGTTCCTCCGGATTTCCTGAAACCGCATTTTGTGAAGCCGTTGCTCGTGACGTCATATGATGTCACAAGGATGCAGTATGACATGATGTCACTTGACTTATACACCCATTCAGTTTGGCCAGGAAAATTTCGCGGGGTGATTGACGTCACGTCAGCTGATGTCACGTGACCTATTTGCCAATATAATTTCTGACCTGTACAGCAATTCCACTTCCCCACTGAATGTAACTGAAAAATTAACGTAAATTAAGCGCAATTTAATTTTCCCACCATATTTAGCGGGGAAATTGACGTCGCCTGGCTTCATGCAACGTGACCTATACGCAGATATAGTTTACCCTCTAAATTTAGTTGAAAACATTTGCCACGTGACTAGGTCACGTGACATAGACGTGACCTACATAATAATAAACATAGGCAGACGGGGTTGTGGGACAGATCACTGAATTGCCGCAGCGTAAGTTTCGCGCTACGCCCAGTCCACCGTCGCGTAGCCTTCTCTGCATCGCTGGCATGGCCCCGTGCAGCCGGTCGTCGCGCGACCGACAACTCCACACCGGTCACAGCGTGGAGTCTTGCGGGAGGCCCCAATATGTCTCTCATTACCGCACCTGCTACACACACGCCGCAATACACGGTAGTCGACCATGACGCGGTGACCAAGGACGGTGATGAAGTTGTGGGTGGGCGTCTCCATCTACGTCTTGACCACTACGGTATCGGTCATAATTTCGGGGCGGTCACGGAAGGTCACGTGGGGAAATGACATTGATATTACAAATACGGGTTGAGGGCCCACGTGAGGGTGTCCTGCGTCACGTAGGGCGGAAGAAGGAGAGGTGGAGGAAGCGGACGCCGACATGTTTCAAGCGGACTTCCACGACGCAGATCTTCAAAACGTCTTGGACTGCAAGGCGGTCTGCAGCAGCCATTCTGCTGACAGCCGCCAAAGACCTCTCCCCACAAGGGGGGTTTAAGAATCCGCCAACCGCCGGGGACGGCGGATACGTTGCATGTATCCATAATAACACATACAGCCGTGTCAGAAAACACAGTGAAGGAAAAGAAACTGTGGACGTGCAATGACTCAGAAGTATTAAGAGAGCCCCGGCGACCGCGAAAAAAAGGGGTCCCGGGACGCGAGGAAAATAAAGATGTTTCAGCTGGGTCAAAATCTACTGCCAGGGGCTCTACTGTTCCAGAGAGGGTCATTTTGTTTGGGGACCCCACTCTCAACGCGCCACTCAAACTCGCGATTACATGTAGTTAAAAGATTCTCATACACGCACATGGTTGCCTTTAGAATTGATCCGTGCATGCAACCACAGGTCATTACTTATTTATCTATAATCATAGGACTTAGACATTAGCAAATTGTGTTTGTATTAAAACAAAATAGTGTTTTCGATAAGTAAAACGAGCCACACAATTGACCGTACGGATTTGCAAGGCTTCTACTTAATGACACTAGTTGCGAAGCTGAAGTTCGACATTTATAGCAACATTGAGAATTCATTTTGGGAAAGAAGGACGGTTATAGAATAAAACATAGTAAACGTAAAAAGAGGACACTTGGGGCCCCGTAAAATGTTGACACATTGGGCTCTT